GTCAGGAGCTCAAGCCGGAACGCCTCCAGCCGCGCATCGACCGGCTGCCGGAGGTCCCGGGGATAGTGGAGCCCACGGCCCTGCCGGCCGCAGCAGAGGACGCCGCGGAGACCCCCGGGGCCCCCGCATCAGCAGAGCAGGTCCGGCCGCGGCCAGAGCGCCAGGAGTCAGCTGATCGCGCAGAGGAGCTACCCAGGAGGCGGCGGCCCGAGCGTCTAGAATCGGCAGATCAATCCGAGGAGGCTGCGCGGAGGCGGCGGCCCGAGCGGCAGGAGTCAGCGGAGCACGAGGTTGCACACAGCCTTACCCTGGGCCGCTATGAGCAGATGGAGCGGCGGCGCGAGCGGCGGGAGCGGCGGTTGGAGCGGCAGGAGTCCAGCGAACAGGAGATGCCCACGAGAGGAGACCTGGCCAAGGGGTGAGGCCCCATGTGCCCAGGGGGTGGAGGAAGGGGGACATGGAGAGCTCCTGGAATCACACAGGCCAGTGGAGAGGGTTTCCTGGCTCAGAACTGCCTAAGGAGGGAGATACATTCGTGATACCCATTTCACAGAGGTGTAAATGGAGGTTGAAAAAGGGTAGGAGTCCTGCCCATTATTCCACAGTGGCAGTGACCTCCTCCAGGTGCAGGTTCTCAGCTACTGAGTTCTGACCCCTGCACCAAATCCCCTGGGTGGCCCTGAGCAGGAATTTTGTCCTCTCTGCATCTCAGTTTCTTCATTGGGCTAATGGTGGAACCATCACCTGCCTGATTGGAGCTAAGATCCTTTATCACAATCTGTCTCAGCCTTATAAACTGGAGGCTGTAGTCATATCTATTTCATGGATGGGGCAACTGAGTCTCAGAGAGGGTAAGTCATTCAGCTTGGGTGAAGCAGGACTGGAACCCAAGCCTTTCAGAATCCAGAGTTAACCAGTATATTGTGCAGATCACTTCAATCAGCTGTGTCCCCAGAGGAGGCCTTTGGTCAAATATGTTTCAGTGACAATGACTACCAGACCCTTTTCAAATTTTGTACATCTTGAACATGTGTCCACTCTGCTTGTGGTATGTGCTGGGGAGAGCAATGACTGAACCAGCTCCATCCCTGCATTCATGGGGCCCACAGTCTAGGGAGGGAAACAGACTTGTCACCAGATAATGTGACCCAGAATGATGGGGGCTGGGGATGAGGGAAGTCCAGGGAGCTTGACAGCTGGGGGTAGGGCGAGTGGGTGGAGAAAGGCAACAGTTTCTTCAAAGGCTTGAAGGCACCAGTTTGCATCTTGGTCTTTGTGGTGCTTAAGGGGAGAGAGATTCCACCCTCCATTCAGCAGACATGTGCCGAGCACCTGTGGTGTGTAAAGTAGACATCTGACACAGGCAGATGCAGAAGTGGATAGGGACCTAGCATCTCAGGCTGAGGCTCCTCCAGCCAGCCAGGATGGTCTCTGGGAGAAGGCATCCCAGTTCCATTGGGTCTTTCTGCGCCTCCCCCCCCCTCCAGGAAGGCCACCCTGGCTGACATTGTGGAGCAGCTGCAGGAGAAAGAGGCAGGCCCTGGGCTCTCTGTTGGGGTAAGTTGAGCCTTGGCATGGGTGGGGGGTATGGGGGGCCCCTCTCCTCCAAGCAGGAGTCAGGATCCCAGAAACACTGATGTCAAGCCCTGCCCCTCTCATCTGAACCCTGCAGAGACTCTCAGGGGATGGGAGAGGGCTCCCAGATGCCTCTGAAATTTTCTCCCTCAGAAAGTTGAGGCCACTAACCTAAGAGATTCCTAACCCCTTCCACCCACACACAAGTAGACTTCAGACTCTTCCCACATCTGTCCTAGATTCTTTCTCTAGCTCAGTGGCGGAGATCTCAAATTTCCTTACAGACAGCCACACACATATGAGGTGCCAGGTTCCTCCAACAGGCAGCTGGGACACCCACCAGCCTACACCCCCACCTCCATATGTCTAGCTCCCCTCCAAGATCGAGAGGGATTCCAAACCTAGGACCCATGCCCAAGACCTGGGGAGCCAACTGTTAGTTGGACCTCCAACCTTGAGGCCCTCCCATACTCGCTTCCAAGACAGATGGCCCTGCAGACAAATGGGACCCCTAGACCCCTGAGT